GGGATGTGTGTGTGAATTTTGGGGCGGTTTAGGGCTTTTTGTGTTTTCCTCAGTTTGGGCGCGTTGTGTGGTGAAAGCGAAGCGAGTCTGCTCTGAAAAGCGAGGCACAAAGACATTAATACCATGCTGGTTCAAAGCGTGTTGGGAAAGGCCATCCCAAACATGGATTTTTGATTTATTTTATATTTTTTTAACGTAAAAGCGTTGGATTTTGGTGCCGCGGGCTCAGTCGCTGCTGCTTCTCTCCTGCAGGCAGTTGCTGAAAGACCCCCAGGTGCTGTTTGCGGGGTACAAGGTCCCGCACCCGCTGGAGCACAAGATCATCATCCGCGTCCAGACCACGGCCGATTACAGCCCCCAGGAGGCCTTCACCAACGCCATCACGGATCTCATCAGCGAGCTCTCCCTCCTGGAGGAGAGGTTCAGGGTCAGCCCCTTGCTTTGGTTTTCTTTGAGCTATTTGAGCTTCTTGCATTTAAAAATGAAGCCCAGGGGAGGGGTAGTGCCAGGGCTGCTCTTTTAGGGCAGTAGTTTCTGCAAATCCGTGCGCAGCGTCGCGTTACGGCCCCTGTGCAGCGCCGTGCAGCCTGGCTGCCTGGGAGGATTTTTGAGATGCCCAGCGAGGGTTCAGTGGGTGCTCTCTAACTCCCCAGATGGCCACCATCGGTTTGCTCACGGTCCTATCAGCGTAGAAAACAGTTTTCTGTTTTTCTTTTTTTCACTTCTCCTGCTAAAACTCTGGGACAGTGTTTTTTTGGTGGTTTGGTTTTTTTTTTAATCACTTCTCATTGCTTCTGCTCAGCTGTCTACTTGTATTTATTTAGCCCCTGATTTTTGAGACTTAACCTGCCCAAAAGGTTATTCCGACAAAAGTGGGGGCACTGTGAATAGGATACTCCCGGTGTGTTCTCTGAAGTGCTGGCTAAAGTTAACAGTGCACCCATTTTGTAAACATGTTTTGGTTTTAATTAAAGTATTATTTTTCTGGGAGGTGTGGAGATTTCCACTGATGGTTTGTGGTTCTCCTTGTGTGTCATGGAAGACTGTTGTGAACGTTTACACTAACCTTCTCCAGCTCTGTACCAGTTCCTGTCTTAGCCTGTGTGTTTTTGTTTGCTTTCCAGGTTGCTATTAAAGACAAACAAGAAGGAATCGAGTAAAATCACCCCATCTGAGGCAGAACCATGTGTCCATTAGCTGAGTGCCATGTTTAAGCCTCCAGTCATGGCAAAGATGTTCCTCCTTGTCCCACTGAAGCTCCATTTTTGACAGCAGCAGCAGTGTTATTTTGCACTGTTGGTTTTGTGTACCAGACAGGCACTTTGCCAAGAGGGTCAATGTCTCGTTTGATTTGATGGATAAGTCATTAAAATGCTTTCTGCTTTTCTAGTTGGAGCCTTAAGACAGATCTTTGTACCGGGCTGCTGGCAGGTTCACTCTGAGTGTCACTTCCAGAATGAGACGCTGCTGCATGGTAGTGGCTTTCTCTTTCAAAAAGCTGGGCACTGCCAACTGAACGGGTATTTTGTTTTATTAAGTGTTGTTTCTATAAAACAAATGCACAAGTTGTGAAAACTTACAGTAAAATAAACCAGATGTTTACAATGACTGGATGAGTTTAACAAACTTTTTTTTTTTTCCTCTTGCACGTAACAGCTGGTCTAGAAAACATCGTGGTTACATGGGTAACAGTCACTAATACTGCACTATTTCAAAACAGGGCAATGAAACTATTACAAAGAACTATGACTTCTTCCAAATGGCTGTGATGTTCACACTAGTTAGAACAACAAGGTAAGTGAAAGTGGGGTCTGACACCACGTTGTTTACTAGGACTTCAGCCAGCTGCTCCCCGTTCGGTCGAAGCTCTGGCCACTTGAGAATCTACGAGAAGAACAGAGTCTCTGGGTAGGAAGAGGATGGTGTTGCCTCTGAAAGTGGGGGTGATTAATTACTGCAAGGCCTGGGGTGATTGATTACTGCAAGGCCAGGTTTGATGATTGGGTTTCTGTGGACTCCTCTTCCCTACCGACCTGGGGAAGCTGAATAAAAGGGCCCTTCCCCTTCCTGCGGGAACTGGTGCAGCTTTATGATGCTCCTCAAGGGCCAGGGTTTAAGGCAGAGGGGCTCGACCAGAAAGGAACAGTGAGCACAGCCAGAACTGACTGTTGACTTGGGAAATATCCTTGTAAAAAAGTGTATGGAACACTAGGTCACACTGTCCCTGTATGATGACAGCTCACGACCACGCTCAGGAGCAACAGCCTCTGAGTGTGTGTGCCTTGGTCATGCACGGGAACAGTGACTGCCCAGAAGAGGGCTGTCTCCGGTGGCCAGGGAAATAGGAAGCAAAAGAAAAGGGTGGTATGAACATGCAGAAGCAGTGTGCCCGTTCCTGTGTGCAGTTCTGCCAGGGGGCAGCCCTCTGGCTTCCCTCTTCTTGGGCCATCAGGGAAATGGTGTTTGTGAGCTTGGCTTGTCAGGCTCTCCAGTTTAACCACTGATTTTCCACCGAGGGCTGTTCTGCTAGGAGACGTTTCCCAGCTGCAGACCGCAGGAGCAAAGACTTCCTTTTACAGCTCCTGATTCCTGCCACAGTTGTGTCTGTGTGAGATTGGAAAGATGGCCCTGGCCATGCTTGGGAGGTGACGGCTTTCAGTGGTTTGGGAGTGTCAGGCAGAGCAAACACCAGGCAGGCTCAGGTGTAAATCTACTCAGCAGCCTCGGGACAGCTGCACTGGGGAGGAAGGGAGGCCCAGCTCAGCCCCAGAGGGTTAACAGGACCTACCTGTGTGGGAGGGATCCTCCTGTCTGAGCGTCTTCCCTTTGCAGAGCTCCATGCTGTGGTGTAGGCTGAGAGGTTGTACATCCACACACTTCCCTTCTCATCGCCACAGAACACATAGTCTTTTGCTGTAAGACCAAAAGAAGAAGCTGGGAAATGAGTGTGGATCTGAGCATCCACTCATCTATAAACCAGAGCTCAAGAGAGTGCTGTGGGATCCCAGGGAAGGGTGTCTTACTGCAGCAAAATTCTGTTTCCAGCACAAATACATTAACCTACCTTGCTCTGAAAAAAGTAAATTCATGGAAAGATACATCAGCAATCTTAGGCTAGTACAGAAAAGCTAGCGATAATGTTTTGGCATTTCTTCTGACTCCCTCAGACTTGTCAGAAAGTGGCAGTCAGATCAGGTTTGTTTATTCCTTGTCTTTAAAGCCAGCTGCCCTGCGTGTGGAATTCCTACCCCTGCTTCAGATGCAGTAAGCATTCCAATGGCTCTGGAACAGCTCCAGGGCCAAGCCCTCAGCTCTGTGTGCCCTGCGGTCGGTGTAAGGCCGTGAGTCTGGGCTCTTCCCCCGTGGCACGGCAGGCAGTACAGCTGCACTCGTGTGTCACTTGTACCATGTACATCCAGCTGCTGCAGGGCTACTGCTGCACGGGAGCCGCAGTGCAGGGCACCGAGGGCTCCGGCTCTTGCAGAGGGGAGACCAGGCACGCTCCAATGGGCACTGAGAGCCAGGCCTCTCCCTCGGACCGCGGGCTCCTCCGACGGGTGAGGGGGCGGCGCGCACAACCGTTCAATCGCTTGCCCTGAGGTGCTGCCTACCTGGGCAGGTGCTGAGCGTCAGGTAGGACAGGTCTGTCGTGGACCACTCCAGCTCTGCTAGAATGACTGCGGACACCGTTCGCGGGCATCCCTTCCCCTTTGCGTCAAAGGACCGGCTCCAGCTCCACACATATATGCATCCTGGTTTGGAGCTCTTGGACACTAGGGAAGAAAGATGGGAGAGGCTGTGTCAGAGGCTGCTGAGATGTGAAAGGTCTCAAGAGAAAGGCTGCCCTCTGGTGAGGGTGGTCCATCCAGAAGGCAGCTTTTAAGATGTGGGACCTGATACCAGCAGCAACTGTTCCCACCTCCTTTACCTTATTTCAGGACAATTGGAGGCTGCAGGGGTGTTTTCAGTCCTGTGCTTATGCTCCTGAATGGTAGAACAAGCATAAGCTATTCTGAAAGACCCAGCCCGTGCTTTAACCACTCTCCCAGATGTGGGAACTTCCAGTTCCTCTGAAAAAAAAATACTGCTGCCACCAGCCCTTAAGCTCTCCTCCCCTCTCACTTTGGCACTCTCGGCCAAGCGTGCTCTCAGGGATGGGTCCGTCTGCTTCCCAGTCCCACCCAGACGGGTTTGTACCTCTGGCCCACGTTTTAGGCAAAGATAAGTGACTCTGGGAGACAACTCCATTCTGTGTGGCCCCCAAAAATCTAAAGAGGTAGTCACAGCCCATTCAGTCCCTCCGCTCACGCTGGCTTCAGCTTCTCCCATGCTGAGGTGCCTGCCTGTTTCTCTGGATTGGGCTACTGTGTTTATATTCACCAATGACATCGTCGTTCAGAAAAGCCAAACCGTCAACGCTGTGAAATGTTGTCATGGCTCCATCCTCGTCAGGAAACTGGAATACGACTTCAAAAGGCCTAGAGTAGGGGGAAGGGTGAAGACAGTCAAGTCCCGAGTCAAGCAAGGGCACCCGGGTACCGAACCCAGAAGGAAATTCAGGTGTTTGTTAGTGAGTCTCTTGCCAAACTCGATGAATTCCCACTTGAACTTACACTTTTTTTTCCCACTCAAGCTGACGCTGGGTTTATTCATACAGCAGACACCCATCTGCTTAAGAGAGACAGGATCAGTGTATGCCAGCAGGACACGACTTCACTTGCTTCTTTCTGGTAATTTTTTTCTGTGCTCCCACAGAGTGCCAGTTTCCTGGGTAACCTCACGTTCCAGAAGCAGGACAGGCCTTGCTGTGAGACTGGAACGCGACCCAAGAATTTTCGCCCCCTTACACTACCTCAGGACGATCCGTTCTGGGGTGTTGTGTTACACTCGGTCGGCCTGCCGTCACGGCGGCCTGGAGCATGGGTGCAAGCTCAGGGCTGCTAACTGTGAACGCTCCTCTAGCATTGTTTTTTTCTTGGCACTACAGGAAGGGGAGTATGTTTCACGTTTGGCAGGACATGCTGTTTTTCTTGCTCAGACCTCCTCAGTTAGAAATAAAGCCTTCGCTAGGACTACCTCTTCTTGTTATCAAAGCAAATTCATGCCCTAAACTTTTGTTTCTCACCTGCTTTTTTGTTCCTTATCCAGTTTTATGTTCCAGGCAAAGCAGCCGCCTTCGCAGCCAGCCAGCAGGTACTGATCTGGGCAGGTGGGGACCAGGGCAATCCGTAAGGGAACAGAGAGTGCTTCCAGCACCAGCAGCTGGCTAAAAAAAAAAGAAAATAGAACACAGTTAAGTGGTGCTGCAATGTGATAGTTACAGGGTCCTGGACTGGCCACATCTGGTTTTTGAACCTTTACCTTGCTTTGAAATTGTAGTCATGGTCTGGAATCCCAATATCCCAGAGTGCAATTCGCTTGTCATAGGATGCAGCTGTGGGACACAGAAGAGAAGCAGGTAGTGACACCGCTGCTCATCTGGCTCTTCTCGTGCTAGCTGGCAATTCTACCCGTGTCACAGGCTCTAACGCTGTCAGCCTGTGGCGTCAGAGAGCGGCTGTCACCAAGGCTCCTGGCTCAACACCACTTCACAGACATTGTCAAACACGCATGGTCAGCAATTTGCATTCTGATCTTGTGCTCCGAGAGGAGCACATGGAAGAAAGTTTGTTTCCTGGTCACTAATTGGTGCCCCTTTGAGCTCACGTTTCTGGTCCTGGGTTTTAGTGGAATCTAAAACACGAGCTCCAACCTCTACTCTCAGGCAGATGCCACTTTATTCCACATATCCATGGCTTACTGTGTTCACATTCACAGCAGCTCCCACTGGGAAAGTCAGGCACTGACGTAAAGTGGGAAAGACGCTTAATGGCTTTGTCACCAAGCTGATACACTGACAGCAGAAGCAATCCTAACAGATTCCTCAGAGTAACCTGGATCCTAATCAGATGGCACCCCTCAAACTCAGACTAAATGAGTTAGTGTCCCCAAACAGGCATGCAAAGACTCTCACTTTATTATATTATAAATTCTTCTATGCAAGATAATGAGCCTTGCTGTCCACAGCTGTGCTATCAACCTCCTTATCCCTCTAGGCTTCTGCTTTTTTGCGCTCTTGAGCTGCTTCTTGAAAACTATCCACTACAGATAGCTGTGTGTT